ATGATGATGATGATGATGATGATGATGATGATGATGTCAGGGGTCGATGAAGTTTTCCTGCTTTTATAATGCAAGGCTCTACCATGAGAAAAATAGTAAATCTTAGTCAGATTTTTCACTATACCAGAAAGAAAGCTTCATAATCTGCTTTAAAGCAAATGCATACTTACATTGAAAAGTGCTGTCTTGTGGGGTATAATGCCATATGGTCTGTTGAAAGGCAATTGACTCTTAGAGGGACGTTTTGACTCAATTTTCAGGGTCAAAGAATAAGCCTAACAGTATACCAGGTTGAAAGCAGGTGGCAAGCAGACCTGCTTTCATGCTGGTATCTTTCTTGGCTTTGGCTTGCCATCTGCTTTCATGCTGGTGTCTTGCTTGGCTTATTCTTTGACCCTGAAGATGGTGGCGATATGTTTCTTTGAAATGTTGGTTGACTTTCACTCTGCTTGTCACCTGCTTTCATGCTAGTATGTTGCTTGGTTTAGTCTTTCACCCAGAAGATGGAGAAGATATGCTTCTCCGAATGTCGGTTGACTTTCAGTGGACTACATAGTGTTGTATCCCAGAAGGTAGTACTCGTCATAACCACTGCTTTGAGAACCTCAAATCCTGTGTAGTTACATTGTCAGGCTTTAAACAGTCTGATGTAAGAATAAAACTGGTGTGCTGTGTCATTGCATTTTGTGCTGAGCGTTCTTCCAATGCAAACCTGGTACTTCCATCTTGTATAATGGAGTAGTAATTTTCAGAAAAATTGCAAGTAACACAGTTTCTCCAGTTTTAAGTTTTGGCTTCAGTTCTTTATAAAAATGTGAGTGTTGTGATGATATAAAAGAGTGATGAAGCAAGATGTTTCACTATTCGTCAAATGACTTGAGTAAATCACTGCAAGATTGCACAGTTGTTTCTAGAGTTGACCTGTCAGTAGTCATTCACTGTCAGTAGATTACGTTGCCTGTGTTGTTTCCCTTTAAATCTCTGTTCACTGTTCCTGAATCTTGGCTACAATATCCTAAGGGTGTTGTTATTCATGTTTCTTCCTAGTTCCTGTTGTAAACATGAGGGCAGTACCTTGAAAGTGCCAGACCACATTTTTCTCATTGCTGCTGTATTGTACTATACATTGAGATATTGGGTTTTCAGACTTTATCCATCGTCATGGTTTTAAGATAACTAATAAAAACACGATTGAGGCTAGCTCTTTCTAAGGGACCCAACAGAATAGGTGTCTTCCCTCACCTGAGGACGGAAACAGATCCAGTTTCTGAAATGTTGTGTTTTTCTTAGTTATCTTAAAACCAAGACGATGGATAAAGTCCAAAAACCCAATATCTCTGTGTGTTATGCACCATTGTCAGAATCCTGTAGTAACTACTGGTACTATTCATTGTTATCCTGCTGATTCACATTTAGTAATAAGTAATCTTTGCTATTCATACAACATAGTTGAATGAATGAAGAAGGAAAATAAAGACAGCATGCAGAGGCTCTGCGCACCCTTTTGTGGTCTGTAGGAAAATACAGAAAAATATATGGGTGATTGTTGAATTGGAGCTGTTACAAACTGGCTGTTTTTCAGAGATGAAGCCATTCGGACATCTGGTATGCCAACAAGCAAAAATAGCATGGAAATGGAGAACCATGTCTTCCAGAAAGCCAAGTCAAAGGTTAGCTCACTTTATCATATGGTACTGTACTGTACTGTACTGTACTGACACTAAACAAGGAAAAGTTTTCCATGATTTAAGTAATATTCTGGTGATTTGAAAAGGATGTAGAATGAAGTGGCTGTGACATATTTTGTGGCCTGTTGTCATCATTTTCCTATATGGACTGGGATAAACCATGAAAAAATGTCAGTATATCATCTCATCCAGGCATGACTTTTTAGCACATGCACAGATTTTGTCTCACCACCCATCACCGTGTTTCTACCTCTCCTTTTAGATCCTTCCATTCCTTCTCCTGTATTCTTTCTCATTCATTTCTTTGTTCATTTTTTCATTCCCTTCTTTCTTTCTTCCCCTCTATTGTTGTTTCTCCTGATTGTGTTAAAATTGTTTTATCAATACCCTGGGCATGATATTATTGCTTTTTTATAGATCATATTATTAGCAGCATAGGAGCATTTTTAAGTATGTAGTGACTGAAAATAATTCTGTTTTAATAGATTCTGAATGTGATATTCCAAGATTCAGCTTTTCAGAAATGCTGTGCTACTCCTTTGATTTTTTAATGAGATTGCATGTGTGTAAAAGAAAGTGAAAAAGGAGTTAAAATAGAAGCTTAGTTGTATATATTTTATTTATTCAGCATATGGAATATACAGCACTGTTAGAAATTATATGTGGGAATTATGTTGGCGTTTTTATACTGTTATTACATCTGCCATTATATTCTGCCTTGAACCAATCAAGTAACATTGCTTTCAGGAAGAATACCTTGGATTTGTGGCAAGGCTGATTTTGCACGTCCGAGAGATGAGTAAGTAGAGGTTTATGTTTGTGAGCAGTGTATACCTAATCCATGTCATATGACCAGGAGAGGAAAGTTTTTACGAGTTCAATATCCTGTCCGGTTTCCGGACAAAGGATCTGTGAAACTATGTAGCTATGTATGTATGTATGTATGTATGTATTTTAATGTACAGTAAAAAAAATCGTTATAGCTACATTTTCAGCTCTGCAGAACACGTGTTAAAATAAAAGGATCCAGAAAAAAGTATCCAAAGCATTGGAAGGTACCTCCACACTCAGTGCATCTTCATGGCCTTGTGCTTATTTGGTTAAGAATGGGGACAGCTTTATCTTTTTACGTTACCATATTGTTGGAAGAATGATGTGGCTCAGGCATGGCTGAACTGTTAAGTGAAAATGGAGGCATGCCATGGTTTTCTAAAAGTTCTTAAAGTGGAACCACATCCCTTTTGCACTGGACCCTTCATTTGCTCAATCTGTTGTATGCATGAAGCAACTTGAGAACTGATGAATGGAGTTTCATGAAATTTGATATTGTGGAGCTGTAAAATTTGTCAGTGCATCCAGTTATGGTTACAGTCAGATGAGAGTAACTGATACTTTACATGAATCCCTACTTGTGTGCATGCACTTATCTTGGGCATAATTAATTAAATATTTATCAGAGTGAAATATGTTTTAAAAACTGTTGAGAAAAATTAACCACACCTTTTATGCTTGGAGCACTTTTCCATAAATCTCTTGATTTTTTAGATAAACAGGAATTGTGATGTTAAGTATACATGACAATTTGAAATTTTTAGTAATTCAGTTTCCTCCCCCTGACTCAGATGCAAAGAAGGGACCTGGTATTGGAGTACCTGGTGGTGGTACTGGAGGCCAAGCTGCTCAAGATCCGATTGGTGCCCTTCAAAATCTAGCTCGTCAAGGTATGTTAAAGAAATAATATAATGGTATTCAGTAATTACTGATGTTCATAAATATTTTGCATGTATCATACTTTACACTTTTAGACCATTGTAATATACATTGTACATAACATTTCATTTAAACATAATGCACATATTTATAATCAATTAAGGTCCCCCTCAAATAAAATCTTTTAATTTCTTTCTAACAACTGAAGTATAAAATTTTATAGTTCATTTTTAGAAATTCTTACAGTAATTTATGTCAAAAATTCATATTTAATTTTTAAAATGAGAAATTATTTACACCTATTTAATGTTGAGGCTTCACTGTCATAATCCAGAAACAGGAAAATAGCAAATTATGGCCATATATTTGAAATAATTGTAAAGAGTTGAGTAAAAACCAGATTTTAAGTGTTCCTGGTCATAGTTTCCTTGTTTAAAACCCATGTAGAGCTGTAATTTCTGGAAGCCGTTTCTGTTCATTATGCACTTGGAACATAAAATGAGAGCATTATTATTATTATTATTATTATTATTATTATTATTGGAGGGGGTGGGTTTCCCCATGCACCGTGACTAATGGTCTGTTGTACATCCCCCTTTGATATTCTACCAGTCGTCATACCCTACCGGTACTGGTGCATGCTGTCAGCCCTGTTCAGCCAACAAGGTTGGCCCTCGGTACCCGATACTTCCCACATCTACCAGAGGCATTGGAAACTACTTGGGCGGGAAACTTTTTGCCTAATTTTGCTCAGAGGTCTCCTAGAGACATGAGGATCCTTTACTTGCCATAAATCTACAATACGGGACCCACAGCTTGAAAGTCCCTCCCGGAGGACTTGTTCCCTGAATTTTTTCGCCCTTAAAAATTCCACAACCTCCGCCGGGTTTGAACCCACGTATCTTGTGTCATGAGATGGGAACGTTACCCCTAGACTACGGAGGCCGCTTAGAATGAGAGTAAGTCAGATTCAAGCTCTTGAGCTCCTTACCATTTTTTTATTTTTGTTTTGCATAAGAGTGATGGCTGAAGCAAGAACCTGCTGCACTAGAGTAATTTTGTTGGCCATTTTATGTCCTTATTTCTTTGTTGTCATTTTCTTTGATCTTCTAGGTTAATTATTTGTTAAATGCATACAGTGTGGCTTACAGTAACTTGTTTTGACATATAACTCTGAGAAACATAATGAAATGGAAAACAGAACAAATATTTTTGACTGAAAGTGGTACTCAAACTACCATTTAGCAATGTGTGTACCATGGTATGCTACTTGGCTACATAAAGATACTGTCTAAAATTAATATGGATTTGAATGTTTTCATTTCCTGAAGAGGTTACTGATGTATGAAAATAATGAAGATTAAGTCAGCATTCCCAGCATCATGAGCATTATCTGAAGCAAAAAGTGAAAGATTTTCTTGTACTTGCCGCTGACTACTTATTAGGAGCAGACATTTACATGCAGAAGTCCTGCTCACTCTGCATATCTGCAGTGTGTGAAATTAAAAAGTGGAATCATCCATATGTATGCTACGTTCTTGGCCAGTTGTAAATGCAGTATTATTGCTTGACTCTTTGTGAATATTAATTACTTTTCTGTGGATGAAGCAGTAGAACTTTTTGACACATTGAAACACTGGATATTGTGGATCTTTAATAGTGCTGCTGAACTGTTGGCTTTTGCTTTGTTCATTGGTCCATTAACTGCCTGTTCTCATTGCTTAAAGTTTGGATTGATTCAGCCTTCAGGCCCTTAACTCATGCTAAATGTGATCCCAAAAACAGTGGACCCCGTTTTGAGTATCATTTTAACCCTTACACTTCTGTAGTCGACATATGTCGATCTCTGAAGAACATGGTGTCCTTGCTGTAATTGACAAAACCCTTTTTGCAACTTTAGAGTTTCAAATCTCAGATTTCTTTGCACCAATCTTATTCACACTTGGCAGTTGCAGAGAGTCATCTATTGGGAACGTAATGAAGCATCATTCATTTCAATGGCTGCATTCTTCTGCCCTCTAACTTAAGAAATGTAAAAGGTTGCATCTGCACAGCGAGGCACACGCTCCGTGGTCATGTGGCGTGGGTATTTCACAGGGCCAGTAAAAATTGCTTCGTATAGTGCGCAGTGCTTTCTACAATAGTTTTAAATAAAGTTGTGGACTTTGGTCAACATATGACATAGTAATAGGACTAGGATAGTGAATTATGTACTTTTTTGACCATCTTGGACAACCCTGATTTAAATGGAGTTTTTCCCTGTGAAAAATACTGAATAATTCAACATTTTTGCAACTTCTGCTGCCTGTTCCCTGTCTGAGGTAAGATTAGTTACATTTTATCACTAATTTTTATACTTTGCAATTAAATTATTTATAAGAGATTTATTCAAAAATAATTCAGCACAGTGGGTACTGAGAGTTATGTAACATACTAGCAGTGAAAGGGTTAAGGAGCTGGCTGACATTTTTCAGTTACATGTTAGAATGACTCCACACGTGCATGGTGAACACTCCTTCTTTAAAGGTGATCAGGTTCTGTCTTCAGGCCTACCGTTCTTAGAGTATAGAATGTGAACTTATTTCACTATACAGAATTCCACATGGTGATATGGCTGTAGTGTAAGAGGTTATGAAGGAACATTGCAGTAGTTTAGAATTGCTTGTTGTAACTGGAAGTGCCAGGAAAACGCTGTCATATTATGAGAGATTTTTCCATGTATATAACAGTAAGTAATTGATGCTGTGGATCATTTTGCTAAGATAGTGGAGTTTCATACTTGTTCTCCCATGGTTACACTGTCCTTGTTAAAAACTATGTGCTAGTTCCACCTTTATCCACCACAAATCCCACATCCGTTGCTTGAGTATTGAAGTTGGGCTTGACACTGAGAAGCTGATATCTTGACAATGGCATTATCATATAGTGCTGAAGGTACAGCATAAATTTAAAGTAATTTTTAATTATTCTAATAGAAAGATTAATATGATTGTATTTTATTTCAGGAGATGGGTCTTGTTTTGTGGCTCAAGCATCATATATGAGTAATCTTTCACCAAGTACATAGTTATTTGGTGAATGTGAATGTTGTGCCATCAGTGTGTTAAGTAAATCTGTGTGTGCAGTGTAGACAATTTCATTTTCATTAGATGACCATAAGGTTTCCTTTCCATGGTTTATGGGTCATCTGAAGTTTGATATTTCAGTTTCTTGGATTCTTACTGATTTTCATTGTTTGCTATTAATAATTCTGTCTACAGGAACAGGGAATCAAATCATGGGATTAGGACCACAAGGAGGAGGTATGGTCCAGCCATCATCCATTCCAGCATCAAGCTGTAAGTTCACTTTTAAATTTTATACAAAATATTAACTGAGCTTGTAGCCTGTCCTCGCCTTCTTTCTTTATTCTATGTACTTTTAAGATATAAATAACTATTCTTCTTCTGTGGGCACTACAGTGAATATAATACTTTAATGAAGCTTTGCCTGTTTTATGATTGCTCCCCATTGGTCTCGATCCTGTGACTTTCGTCTCCAATTTCAAGATCTTCAGCTGAATCCAATCATCTGATAGCAGGTCTGCCTTCTCATCGAGTACCCTCTGGTTTATGTAAAGTTAACTTCTTGCAAGGGTTTTGCTCTTGCATATATATATTACTCGTACATCTCTCATCTCTTGAACTGGTTTGCTGTTTTTCATTAAATCTGATACAGGAGCATAGTATTGTTACATGTACAACCATTTGTAGACAACAGGTTGATAAACAAGTTCGCATGAAGACAGATTCTTGGTAAAGAGTCTGTTACTAGCTCACGCAACAATAGGATGAATGTTTATAGCTCGTCGCTAGGGAACAATCAGCACACCAATAAACTGGCGAGATAGTTGTCAAATGACTTGTTTTCAGTGTGGTTCATGCCATGCCCAGTGCTAAGCAACAGAACTCTAAACATGTGTACAATAATAGGTGTTTTCTATGAGGTCCATCTGAAGGTTTATAGGTGACAGTTAAGTCTGTTTTGCAGTCATATTTGAGAAACTGTGAGTCAAGGACATGAAACAATCATGGAAAAGAGTCCAGGAGGGTTCAGCAGTTGAGAGTACAAGAATGAGAATGGAGCATGTCCTTAGTGAACTGTGAAGATTAATTGAGTACAGATAAGGACAGGAGTACAGAGTGATTGAAGACAAAGTAACAAGAAGTTTTGTAACCATACAATGCAAAGGACTACAATGTTTTGTTTACATGTGTCGGTACTTGTCACTACATCAAAGCAGAAGTATACCTCACACCCCACTCAAACCAGAGGGACCTGAACCCAATTGGCCCTAAAGGAAGCCAGGCTTCCCTCCTACCTGAGCGGTATCTTGGGACGAGAGAGGAATTCTAAAGAACTAACAGCTTGAGAGTTTCCTTACGCAGTTCCAAGATGGTAAAGTTTATGACGGTTCACAATCCCCGGACTAAAACAAAACCAGCCCAACACTCTCCCTACTTTTAGAAAGAGCCATATGCTCTAATAAAAGAGAAATGTGTCCGAAAAGACGTGGGAGAGAACCTTTTGTCACGTAGAGAGATGGCCCTCCGACTGGTCATAACTCGCCAAATGTTAAAACCTGCTTTTAGAAAGGAGCGGCGAATTGTTTCAATAGTTGAGGAAAGGGACCAATTTTCAACACCCGATTCGTCGCGGACATACCCTTAGAAGACCGTGAGATTGAACCCTCTTGATCCACCCCGGGTCAGAAAGACTGAAAGCGTGTGAACCCCAACTTTCGCCACGAAACGGCTGACCATTGGAGGAATGAGAAACTATAGAACCCTCCCCCCTATTGTCTAAATCCAGCCAATCCAGAGATTTGGAGGATGGCAACCAGGCGTTCCCCAAATTTTCGCAGGACCTCTGAATCTGCAAAAACAGTCAGTTCTTTTAAAAAGTCTTGTAACAACAGTTAAACTCACCGGACGCGGAGATAGCCCTCTCCATCATCTGTTAAGTGAAAATAGTATTTGAACAACGGGTGGAGATCATGGAGAAGTAACAAATTGAGTTGTATCTCAGTGACGCCTGGATTACAAACCAATAAAGGAAGTGGTGCCAAGTGTTTGTGTGTCCAGTGTGTTCTTTTCTCCTCGTCGGAGTAAGGCCCTAAACGACCTGAGCCAGAGTCTCGCGCCAACCACGACTAGCCCGATCACCATCAGCTCCCACCCCGTCCACCTTTTCCCTTCACTTCGCAGCTGTACCCACAGTTGCTGGCACCCATAGACAAATCAGGCCAAGTCCTGGACCCGATACCCCTTTCCATAGTGAAGAGAAGTGGTGGAGTTGGGGAAGCGGTGGAGCCAGGTAAAGCCGACCTAGCTGCAAGCTCCACGACCAATGACGGCAGCGGCGAGAACGACAAGAGAAAGGAAGGAAGGTAAAGAGTAGCAACCAATCGGTGTGGCTAGAAGCCTCACTGGGTGGAACGGTGAGAGTTCCATTGTGATTTGAAGTGGTAGTTCCTGTGTTGAGATCCATTGCCAGGAGATGACTAGTGAAGATGGAGAATCCTAGTGCATGTGCAATGGTGAACTGTAAATTGTGTAAATCAGTGATAGTGTTGTATTAATTGTAATTAAGAGAGAGAGTGTAACCAAAGTGCTAATAAATTACTGTTACTGTTAAGTTACTGTGAGTAACTAAGAGTTAATTTTAATATAAATTAGTTATTTGCAGTGTTGCAGACATTAAACCAAAGGCCGCAGGGGCTGTCAGGCATGCAACCTATGCAGGACAAAATTCCACCAGGCATTGGAATGGGTCCTGGTCCACAGGTGGGTTTTGTTCCGAGTTTTGCTATAAGTTACTAACTCTTTGTAGAACCAGCAGCCTATATATACACACGCACATGCGCACAAAATCATAATTTCTTTTCACATTCAGCATTGCCTAGAAATGATTACTAGCAAGAAGGTTGATACAGAAAGAATAATATGAAGATAAAAAAGTAAATATCATATTTATTCACATATTTCAAACATTTCTCTCCATTTTCAGAATTGAATGTTGATTTTTGTAATGGCTTGTGCAGTCATCATAGTTGAATTATCATAACTGCTAACTGGAAAGAGGAACACAATTGCATGAAATGGAAGTGGGCTCACTCTCAGTTGAAAATGTTATTTAGTTTTTATGTTGCAGAGATTTGTGAACTTCATCCCATTGTATGCTGAAAATGCATTGGAAATAATGACAAATTATTAGATATTGCAGGAGTGCTGAGCTCTTTGAAATCTCTGTGAATGCCAGGTATAGATGTAGCAGTGTCATAAAATTGGCCCAGAATATAAGATAAGATAGCTTAAATGTTTTCATATTAAAACATTATGTCTTTATTACATTTTGGTGCATTCTGCAGTGTGCATTTATTATCGTTTGAACAATTTTTCACTTTGATACCATAAAGCATCTGTTAGTCATAAAAAAAAGGAGGGTTTTGGCAGATCATATGAATAATATGAACGAAGTTTGCTGTGTTCCTCAGCACTTTCAGTTACTTTCATTTTAATACATACTGTATGATTTGAATATTTAATCATGGTGTATCATCAAACAAAAAAGAACATGCACTATTGCAAGCTTCAATGTTCTACCCAGCCAAAATCACTCAAAGGACATTTTACCAAGTTATGCATGAGTAGCATGTTTAGATCAGGCCTCTGGACAGTGTTTTCGGGGAAATCTAGGCTATTCAACTAATGGCAGAAGCTTCAAAGTAGAGACAATACTTGCAGGCTGCTGAGCTTGATACATATGATTGTCAGCTTGACTGAACATTGCAAATTAGCACTTTTGGTGATGGTATTTTTTATTGATGCACCCTTCTGTTAATTGGATAAAATATTTTGGAACTTCTTTCCGCCGGAATCAAGAGGGTATGTGAGCTGCATTGGTGACATGATTGAGTAAATATAGTAGGTCTTACAACTAAAGGTTCTAGTCTCATTATTGTCGATTGATGTTTCCACAAGGGTGAGTCATCTTATGCCAGTCCTCAATCTCCCACAAACTATGTCTCCATTCTTCCTGTATTATATTTCAGTACCTTATTCTTAGTCTAACGCAGTGGTCATTTATTTGATAATCACTCCCATTTGTGTTACTGTGGCTATTTCTATGCAGAATTTATTAGCCTGCTGATATCTTTTTGGTAAGCAAGACTTAGACAACATAAATGTATGGTCCAGTCCCAGAAATATGTGTTTTTGGGCCCAGGTTGCTGCAACAGGCCTGTAACCACTAATCAGTGTTGAAAATTACAAAAAAAAAAAAAAAAAAACCTGTGATTTTAGTCTGCAAGTGAAATATTCCAACTGGGTGACCGCTGCTTGTCGGCAAAGTTAGTGCCTGTGGTCTAGTGGTCAGAGTTTCTGCCTACAGATCCAGAGGTCCAGGTTCAATTCCCGATGCTACCAGATTTTCTGAGAAATAGTGGGTCTGGAACAGGGTTCATTTAGCCTCATGAGGATAATTGATGAGCTATTTCAAGGAAATATAGCTCCGGTCTATAAAACTGAAATTAACAGCCATGGTGATTCGTTGCCCTGACCACGCGACACCCTCAATCTGCTAAAGTTGGCACTTGAAAATTACATGATAAACATATTTTCATTGACCTCTATGTGGGGGGCAAAATAGCTGTAGCATAAAGCTGACCATCTCCATCTAGAATTGAAGTTAAGAATGTATGGTGATAGGTCTCCACTTTCCCATACATCTTCATGACATTGTATTTAATAAAGTGTAGGCACAGCTTCCCTGTAACTCTTTAACATTTATCTTGTAAGTTTGTAGTCATAGCTATAATGTCTCAATTGTGCAGGTTGGACCAATGGTTGGAATGCCAGGACAGATGCAATCTGGACCCCTACCAAATGTTTCATGTCCAAGTCAGATGCCTGGTCAGATTCCTACCCAGATGCGAGTTCAGTTGCCAGCACAGATGGGTGGACAGTTGCAGGGTCAAATTCAAGGTCAGTCTCTGGGCCAGATGCCTCAGATGGCAGGACAAATGCCTGGCCAGATGTCCCATATGACTCAAATGCAGCAACCAAGAAAAGTGAGTAGTTAAGTTGCTTAGCTATCTCTTTCAGTACCATACACTTACCAACTATTCATTTTCGCAGCAGAGTATGTTCATATTATGTTGCTGTGCAGTTCATTTCTCTTGTTTATGTTTCATATACTGTATTTATGGGTATTGAAAGGCGTAGGAGTTACATATACCAGGTGACACAAAAGTAAATGTTAAAGGAAAAGGTGATAAAACTGAATAGCTATACAGATTTGATATAAACGCATATAAGTTGTGTAGAAAAGTATATGTAAGTAATTGTAGAGGAAAGTTTAGTTTGCTTGATTCATTACAGAAAAATATTTTCCATTTTGAACGTTAAGCCTTCAGCGTGGTTTGCTGTACACGGTACACTGGTATTTAAACGGTCCTACCTGCGGTTTGCCATACACGGTATGCCAAGCCGTAAGCTTAATTTCGAAGGCCCATAAATATGGAACAAACCATGCCAGCAAGATGATGATTGCACTGGGCTGTTGTGAAAAGAATGCGCTCTCTTTGTGTAAACATAACATTCAATTTTCTGCAGCTCTGCCAGTCAGTCTAAAAGTAAACGCGTGACCTCACAGTGGTATCAAGGAGTGACTATGATATCAGCATACCACAAAGATGATATGAATGAATAAAGCAGACAAACAAGAAACAAAGCCTGGTTGTTTGTGATTATAACAGAAACATGCTAGGAGTGGATCTGAAGGATCAAATGCTAGAGCTGTACTTGCTTGAACGAAAGAAGAGTACTAAGTGGTAACAGAAGTTAATCAAGAGGCTACTCAATGTAGCAATACATAATGCAGTGGTCATATATCGGCTTCTCCCGAATAACAAAAGCATGGACACGCTAAAGTTCAGACTTTCACTAGCACAAGGTCTCATGGAAAAACGTGGTTCTGGTGTTCCTTGTCCTGTATACAGCCGTCCTTCAGTTGAGCCGCCGCCTAAAAGACTGACAGAACGACATTTCCTGGAGCATATTCCAGCCAAAGGAAAAAGGCAGAGCCTCAAAAAAGATGTGTGGTGTGCACAAAACATGGTAAAAGGAGAGAATCTATTTATTTGTATAGTGAATGTGAGGCAGGGTTGTGTTTAGATGGACGTTTCAAGAAATACCATATGAAACTCAAATTCCAATCAACTTGCTTCCATCGCTCAGATACAGGGTGCTCATATTATAAGGTAAGATTATAAAACCATCTGTGGGAACTGCCCACATTCAAGCAAGTGTGACAACACGAGCTTCATTGCTTAGCAGCTTCGAGTAAGCAGCGGGTGCTAGGCAAAGCCTACAACAATACGGACAGTGACATGTTTTCTTATGTCCGACTCTAGGTTACATAAGATGATACATTGAGTGGAAGTTATAGTTACAGTTCTAGATTCTACAGTTCTACAATTCTGGTTCAGGGTGTTCATTATTGTTATTATTATTCTTAAATTCTTCAAACGCAAGTTCGTCTGTGTATACTGTGCAATGAAATCCAGGTGGTTGAATTGCCTTGGTGAGCATTTGTCTCTTTTCTGCTGGAAAGCGTAGGTGATGGGTTTGTGGTCTGTGAAGATGCTGAAGTGGCACGGTTCTAGCACTATAGGACAGTTGCACTGTATACACAGACAAACTTGCGTTTGAAGAATTGAAGAATAATAATAACAATAATGAACACACTGAACCAGAATTGTAGAACTGTAGAATCTAGAACTGTAACTATAACTTCCACTCAATGTATCATCTTATGTAACCTAGAGTCGGACATAAGAAAACATGTCACTGTCCGTATTGTTGTAGGCTTTGCCTAGCACCCGCTGCTTACTCGTCGTTGCTAAGCAATGAAGCTCACGTTGTCACACTTGCTTGAATGTGGGCAGTTCCCACACATCTTTTAAGAGGATTTCAGCGAAAAATTCATAATTATACCTCATATAGTTCAAAAGTTATGATACATAATATTGATACATGTTGCGCAATGGAGTAAAAACCCTCCCTACCCAGCAGTGACGTGGCAACTCTGGCCACAGTGAAGTGGCGGATGAGTCAGCGCTCCGTCCCCCCTCCTCCGTGTGGGTATCACATGGTCCTTTGCCACTACTAAGCTAGAAGGATAGGGTCCTGCCCCAGGACTCCATAATGATACTTCTTCCGCCAGACACAGAGTTTGGCATCCTATATCCACTGACGCATCATGGGCGTGCAGTATGACCAGTCCCAGGATGAGCTCATCTGTGATATTCACGACGAAAACCCACATTGTTATCGGTTGGCACCCCAGGGTAAGAGTCAGCAGAACTTCTTTCAGGATGGGTAAGGATCCTCCAGACACGGTCTGCAGCATAAAATCTGGATTTGGCCATCTTTCAGGCCATCCGGCGGCGATATCCGGTCTTACTATCGTCACGTATTCTCCAGTGTCCACTGTCACTTGGCACGGCTTATCACCAACCCATCTCTGGGTGACCAGACTGGTGTTGGCCTTTTCCGTGATGTTGGTGAGTGCGTAGTGTGGGGGCCTTAACACACATGCCGGCGTTCACCCTTCTCCGCCGGCCGTTGCTCGTTTCCCGACAGTTTGTCATTTCTCCAGCTTGTTTCCCTGTTGTTTCTGGGTCGCCATTCTGATTTTCCCGGCGATTCGCGTTTATTTCTTGGAGGTCCTTTCTGGTCCTGGTGCTGTCTATTGTCATCTCCTCGTTGGGTGGGGGACAATCGGAACTTGGTGCTATCTCCGTGAGGTCTGGCTGCTACCAGTACCGCTTGCAGCTCTAGCGCTTGTCGGAGGGCCTCGTTTACCTTCTTCTCCCCTCCCAGCAGCAGCTGGATCTTTATATCGGTATCTCGTATTCCGTGTATGAAGGCTTTTCCTGCCTCTCTTCCTATGTGGTCAGCAGGTAGATTGGGGTAGGCACGACAGGAAAGAAGTTCAATGGCCGTGGCAAAGTCTTGCAGGTTACCCAGCATGGAGAGGACTGAAGAAACAAGCCGAATCATCATTTCCGCAAGCCATTACAACACATAGTGAGAAATAAATAAGAGAAACTGGTATGAAGAAATTAAGAGGGAGCGACTGTAACAGCCGGATAATAGTCGCTGTGAGGAGTAGCCGAAACAGGAGACGCAGAAAGCACAACCTCCAAAGAAAAGGAACGGGGGTGCATCGTTAGGCTATTCGGGACGAACAGCCTTAAGGAGGAAGCAGTGATACATGTTGCACAGTGGAATAAAAACCCTCCCTACCCAGCAGTGACGTGGCAACTGAGGCCACAGTGAAGTGGCGGATGAGTCAGCGTTCTGTCCCCCCTCCTCCGCGGTGACATAATGCGCAATGCCGCAATTGCTACGTACCCGTAAACAACTTCCAACAGCGTTCCTATGTAACAGGCAAGCGCTGCGACTATATAAGGGGACTACACAGCCGCCGCCGTCAGTTCAAGCGTATCAGCCGCCGAAGTGAGTTCTCAGCGTCCTTGTTCTTAATTGGCAGTGGTAAGGAGCTGCAAAGTGTTGGTCCCCAAAACGGTCCTCTAGAGCCTGAAGTTTTTCCACGTAAGTTGTATTTGTTGGAATGCTGGGTAGTATTTCCGCCGCCCGACCCCTCAGGGCAGTAATTAGGTATGTCGATTTTTCCCGGTCCGACCATTGGTTGTGTTCTGCCACGGTCTCGAATTGTCGCCAGAACATGCTCCACGTTGAATTCCCGTTGAATGTCGGTGGCTGAGCTGTGCTCGCGATGATCGTTGATGTATTTCCCCACTCGTCCTTCATTTGCACTATGTCCAGCTGGGCCTGGAACTCGCGTTTGGTTTCGTCAGTTGCTGCGCAGGTTTCATTGTAGTTTTTCGTCAGGTTTTCCTGGAGTTTATCTGTCCGTGGCAGAGGGACACTTCAATCTTTTCAGTTATTTCTGACTGGAGAGTCTGTTTGTTGTGTTCAAAGATCGCAAAAATGTTTTCAATTCTATGTTGGATTGTCTCATTCAACTCTGACTGCATAGATCGCATTTCTGCCTTCTTTCGGTCCCTACGCCTTTTCTTCTTCGGTTCTCCAACCGGCATTACTTCGGCGTCTTATATGGGTACCTCTCGTAGTTCTGCCGCCTCAGGTTTCATTTCACTGAGACTGGCTCTTTTTCTTCTGGATGTGCTTCCATTTCTCGGCAGGCCATCACCAATCCGACTGGTATTACTAAGGGGACCTCTTCTTGTTGTGCCGCCGCAGGCCGGCTTTTCCTCTTCTAGACGTACCTCCATCTCTTGGTAGGCAATTGTCTTTACTTATTTTTCTAGATGCGCCTGCGTCGTTTCTCGGCAGGCCGTCATCTCTTTCTGTCAGGCATCCATATTGGCTTGCAACCTCTTCTCTCGCATGGCGACCGTCCTTGCTTCGGTGGCTCTCGTTTCTGTTTGGATGGCTTTTATTTATGCAGCCATCTCTTCTCGCCAGGCTTTCGAATTGGCGTTTAATTTTGCAATGAAATCTTCATGGTCTTTCTTCGTATTGGCCTCCAGTTGTTCTTGGCCAGCTCTGATTTCCTTGAGCAGCATTTCCATCATCTGCTGCATCTCCATTTTGTAGCAAGAAAACAGTCAATGTACTCGTAAATTCAATTGTTCGCTGAGGCGTGTTTAAGTTCATAGACACTTCTGACACCAGTTGTCATGCGTTTGCTGTATATAACGCGACAAATAACTTCACGCCTTATTTGATATAGTGAATTTATTGCACATTCGCTTTTACAATCACACAATTTACAGATCCACAATTACTGCTATCTGCAGTATCACAAATACTGTACTGCAAATGCCAGAATACAACTGACTGGTTGCTGGCTAACTCATTACTCTCCGCTGGCTAAATGGAGAACTGTTGATCACACACTTCGGCAGCTGATATGCTTGAACTGATGGCGGCAGCTGTGCAGTCCCCTTATATAGTCGCAGCGCTTGCCTGTTATGTAAGAACGCTGTTGGAAGTTGTTTACGGGTATGTAGCAATT